AACTTATCAATGATGAAATATTATCTAATATGATGGTTAAAGTAAATGAGTTTGAACGAATAAAACATGTTAAATTAAATAAATCTACAGATTCAGAAAAAATTTAAGCAAGCTTGGATTGCAAAATTATTGAACTTACCAATGAATTTGGTAAAAATATTCATTATCATCTTTATGAAGACGAATTACAATCAAATAACTCCTCTGAGTATTAAAATGGATTTGACATTATTATGAGATTAGCCCAGTCAATTTCAAGTAATCAGCGTTATATTCCTCAATTTTTATATTTACCTAAATCAAACCGCAAGCAATTATTACGCCCAAATAGTCAATGCAAAAACTAGCAGATAGTAAAGGAAAAAATTTTATTAATGCATTATCAGAGATGCTTTGGTATATTGATATACATGATAATACAAAACTAGAAGAAAGAAGCTTTTATATACCCAATTTATTTCACAAATTTCTTGGCAAAGCAAACTCAGAATCTTATAAAGAGTCCAGAAAACCATTTAATACTAGCAAATTAAATCTCTACTGCCAAACACTTATTACATATGCAACATCAACATGGATTCGGTCACCAAACTTCAACTGGTTATATGATGCATATGACAAACTAATAGTTGCAATTTCTAATTATGTGAAATACTTACATAGATAACGAGAAATAACTGCCTCAAACCATGCAAGTGAAGTTCCAATTTGAAGTATAGAAAAAGCCATATCAGTAAATATTTATGATCGAAATATTTGGATTAGTTTATATATTAAATCAAAATATAAAGAAGTCGAAGTTGTATTACAAAATCTTCCTCCATGGAAGCCAATTAGTCTTGAAGAATACTTACCAACAGAACCGATATAAGTATATAGGATCTTTGCTAGGAAAATCACTCTTCAGGGTTTTCCAATCAGGCTAATTCAGAAAAGCTTAGACCAGAATGCCAGTTCTTATTCATATGTAAACCATCTTTTGCTTTATTCGATAGTTTATTAAATAGACTGTCGAATCAGTAAAGTAAAAAGATGTTTTATATAAGAATAAAAACTGACATTCTGGTCCAAACTTTTCTGAATTAGCCCAATCAGGCTAATTCGGAAAAGCTTAGACCAGAATGCCAGTTCTTATTCATATGTAAATTATCTTTTGCTTTATTCGATAGTTTATTAAATAGACTGTCGAATTAGTAAAGTAAAAAGATGTTTTATATAAGAATAAGAACCGATATTCTGGTCCAAACTTTTCTGAATTAGCTCGATCGGAAAATCCCAAATGATGATTTTCCTAGCAAAGAACTATATCATATTAAGCTATTTTTTTATACTTATCACTTTTTTTTCTGCTTTTTTTTTTTACTTTTCCATTATCTTTTTTCAGGCAACAATTATGGTTCATATAAGGACTATCCTAAGCATTTATGTTTAGAATTAGAGAATATAGATATAATTCTGAAAATGGCACTTATAATTCTATATTTGTATGAAAAATTGAGGAAAGTGCTAGTGAAGCAAAACTAGTGCAAGAAACAACATGTATTACAAGTGAATTGCAAAATGATGCCCTACAATATCATATACGAATAATGAAAGCAAATTATTTATGTGTCTGTGACTTGCTTTTACCAAATATTAAGTTAGCTTCACTAAGAACAATTTATCGAATGCTTACAGGAGACATGTCAGTAGCTGAAACTGCAAATGAAAAAAAAGTTAATACATGAGTAAAACTTGTCTTAGAACTTGGTGACCCTGATATTACAATTGATCTATGGGAACTTAATGAAGGTAGGCTGGGAAAATATGATGCATTTTGGGATGCTGTAGCCCGTTTTCTTGCAGGAAAAGCCACTGACCTAGTAACTGCTGTTGATGAAAGACAATATGATCAAATTGTACATCTTGTCATAGCTATTTCATTAAATGATTTGCTCCAACAAATTAAAAGTGAATGCTTGCCTGATATATCAATTCCCAGCCCCCAATGGCTCAGATTACAATTCTGGCCAAAAAATCTCAAATATTTAAGCAGCTTACAATATACAAGTCACTTACTACTAAAATTCATAGTACAAACTCGACAACTACAAGCAAACCATCCAGATACTCACTATCACAGGTCAAAAAATAAAAAATCAGTCACAAATCAGGTACCCGATTTTAAACTGATTACTGCCTGATTACCACCTGATTTATGCATATTTTTGTACCAAAAATTTGGTACAAAAATATGCATAAATTAGGTGGTAATCAGGCAGTAATCAGTTTAAAATCGGGTACCTGATTTGTGACTGATTTTTTATCTTTCGACCTGTGTATGCATCGGCACTATTCCGGTATAAAAAGGAATTTGCTGTTAAATTTTGTGATATAACAACTTTTGCATTTCTTAATAATAAATACAGATGCAAGATTGGAGAGCCAGGGCACCCTGTAACTGCAATAGAAAGAGGTAAACATGTAATAGTTAGAAAAGACATAATATTCATAGTAGGTGACTACAATTATACAAAAACTGGAATGATACCTAGTGTTACTATGCTTTGCAAAATTCCTGAAATGATAGATGGTAATTTCTATGCTGGGAAAGTCTATATAGGCTTAAAAGATCTAATTTTCCAGCCTTCTTCTCCTTTACGTCACATGACAGAACTCCATAATATTCTTTTGAACCAAGAAACAATTAATCCCGTGTTATGTCTTTATACTGACAGTGGTCCTGACCACCAATGTACATTTTTACGAGTTCAATTAACTTATATTTACTTATTTTTAGCACTTGACCTTAATTATCTTGTAGCTGTAAGGACACCTCCTTTACATTTATGGAAAAACTCTGTGAAACGTATTATGTCAATTCTTAATCTTGGGTTGCAATCTGTTGGACTAATGCATTCAAAAATGGATGATAAATATAAAAAACTTATCAGTAAAGCAAACACTATGAAAAATATAAGAGAAATAGCAAAATTAAATTCAACATTAAAAGCTGAACTTATTAAAAGTATCCAAGATCTAATTAATCTTGTACGTGAAGTATTCAAATGACAATCCTTAAAAGAAGAACTATTTAGAACATTCGATGCTATAACGGATAAGAGCATTAAAGAATTCTGGAAAAATATTTGTTTAGCTGATAGTTCTATAATACAAAACGATTATGAGATGAAACATATTAAAAAATAAAGTAAGTAAATATATATGTTAACATATAAATTAAAAAAAAATAACTATCTCTTCTTAAAGCCACACTTGAAAAAGTTTTATAATCATTGCTATGCAGCAAAGCATTACTTCTTTATGATTAAGAAATATGGCAAAATAAAGTGTTCAATTTGTTCACCACCTCGAAGTTCTTCTGAAATATTTTCTCAACTCTTTCATCTTCCTGATCCGGTTCCCGGAGAAGATCTTCATTACAAATCTTTTAATAAACTTTATAGCAGCATGACAACAAAAAAATATAGACCTTTATACTAGCAAGCAACAATTTGAACAAAGTATGATAAAAAAGACAACTAAAAAAAAAAGAAAATTACATTATACAATGCCTTTCTGTCCCTCCGCAGTGTGTGCTAAAAATGTTGGGCTTATCGTTACCTGCATAGAATGTGATAAACCACGGCTTTTGTTTAGTGCAAACAAGTTATCAGATAAAAATCACCAGATACTTGAACAATTCTTGAACACCATTCTATATACATGTAGAACAGCATTTCATAATACTTGTGAATTATCACTTACTACACCTGCAAAACTATCTGAACAACGCCATGATAAGCCTCTCGATGAACTTGACTGCAATAGCAATGAGGTAGAGTTGGTTCCCAGTCCTAGCTATTTATATCTGGAGCAAGACATTAATGATATTGAGAATGATGAAAGTTGTTATAGTGAGCAAAGTGATTAAGATAATCAAAGTGATCAAAGTGATTAAAGTGATCAAAGCAATCAAAGTGATCAAAGCGATCAAGAAGAATCAGGCAATACTTATTCTAATAAGCTTAGTGAAAAAAATAAAAAAGATGATCCTATTCAAGAAATTTTTAAGCTTGTTTTCGTTAATGATTCCTGGACATGCGCTTTACCAATAGAGAAACTATACTATTCGGCAAAAATCTATCCCCAAATTTGCTATTTGTGTAGTAGTCTTGACATCAAACAGCCTATACAAACAACATGCCAAAACTGTACTAATACAAACGATTTAACTAAACGAAGGAGTCAGAAATCAGCTAAAAAGGTTATTTCTAAAAAATCTTTTTATAAAACTTAAAATCAGAAATTTCACTCAGATAACTTCAGCTATTCCGACTGCTCATTTTTGAATAAAGGAAGCTATTATTCACTTAAATATTGGTATTAGGTCATTAATACTGTAAAAACCTTTATTAATATTAAATTTGAACAATACATGTAAATTGAAATATAAATATATATAGCTTTTAAGCACTTCGATTAAATAAATCGCTTATATTAAAATTTCATGGATAAGCAGGCTCAAATATCATAAGTTTGAGTAGTACTAACATAATACAATACTTGGTTACATTAAACCTTGTTAGTATATAATACAAACATCCTAAATTTACTATAAAATTTTAATTCTATGGCCCAGGTTTTATAACCTGGCACAAAACTTTTTTAATATAAAATTTTATTTTTATAAAATTTTGATTTATAATCTAGCTTTATAACCCGGCAAGTGTTTTTTATTATAAAATTTATAAAATTTCAATTTTGTAATCTAAGTTATATGACTCGGCCAGGTTATGAGAACCAATATATAAATTTTATATAGCTTAAGTTTTATTTAATTTAATTTAATCTTATATATTTTACTTTTAAGCAAACAAGTTTAGCAATTGCCAAAAGATTAATTGTTACAAATATTTATTCAACATTAGATGAATTAAAAGTGGCTGCAAAAAAATACCTTGTTGAATTCGAGTGTGATTTTTATGAAAGAATAGAAACTAAAGATTGGAATACATATTATGAAGAATATTCGAAATGTTTCGCATTTAGTCTGCTTAATGCATTTTAGTTAAATTTGAGTCAATCTATTCTAATTTCAAATTTAATTTAATTTTATATTTTATTTATTTTCTAATTTTTTATTTTTTAAGTTTATTTGAACTAATTCGCATTATTATTTTTAATTTCAAATTAATTTATTTTGTATTAGCTTCTAGCAGCTCATTACTAATGTCGTAGCAGAATTGTGACTAAAATTAAAGATTCTGTCTTTTTTGTATTTGAACAAGCCCAATTAGATAGAATAAAATTAAATTCTACGCCTAAAGTAATTTCAGATTAGAAGGATTCGGATAAGACACATCAATGTTATAAAAAATTATTTACTTCAATCAATGCCTCTAATCCTGATGATACCTACTTCTCCTGAATACTTTCGAATACTTGGTCTAATATAACTCCCACAAATATGCAATTGGCATATATGATAACTATATGCCAGATAATGCTTAATTCTTTTTATAAAAAATTTAATATGGAGAATGATGTTGTAATATTTAGAATAAATAGAAATTTAGTAAATTAATTTATTAATTTTTTTGTTAACTAACCCTAACTCTAATCTAAACACTAACATTAACTATAACACTAACTCTAACACAACACTAACACTAAATTCATTTACTCTATTTAATTTTTGTATATTTCTTTAATAAGGATAAGTTAGAAGATAGTACTGCATTTTTCCCGCCAGTCACTGATGATGAAGATACTATGCTAGAAGATGACCCAGCTGAAGTTGTGGCCCGTAAAACTAAAAAGTGTAGGAAAAGAATTAGAGCAAAAGCACCTTCTAGCTCATGTAAAAAGAGTAAAACTTCTGCTTCTGCACAAACACCTATATCAATCCGCAAATCCCCTCGTAAATTATATTCTTCCGCAACTCCAAAAGATAACCAGACTAATCCCAATAAAAGCCAAACTGATCTGAAAGAAGGAACCTCAACCACATCAAATCCACAACAAACTGCATCTTTTAATGATAATAACAATGATGAACAAGAATCTTAAATTTTAAATATTTTATTTTAACTATAAAATAATAGATAGACGTAACTTTAAGTATAGGTTGGTTACGACAGTTGTGTGCGGAGCTGGGGCACATAATAAATATTTCAAATAATATGTTTATATAATGTTTTTATATGGTTTTGTTTTTTTTTAATTTACTTAATAAATTCTTATTTCGCATTTAATTGATTTTAATTAATATAATCATATAAAATTTAACTAAATATTTAAATTTTAATTAATTCGAAACATTTCGAATTAATTCGAAAAAAATTGCATTTGAAATATTTTAAATAATTCAAAATAATTCAAAATAATTCAAAATAAGTTGAATTAATTTATTATGATTTAATTTATATAAGAACATATTAATATAAAATATACAAAATCGGATTATTCAATTAAATTTTAAATGAATCAAATTAATTATGCTATAATTAATTTAATAAAATTTTTATTAATATATTAATTTACATAGATTATTAAAATCTAGTTTCT